CCCTTTAAATATTGTATTTCCTAACTTATTAGTGCTAAGGGAAAGTTACTGACTTTTAAGCTTGTTAAACTTGTCCCAGTACTGAACTCTATTATTAGCTCTAATGGTTTCCCAGTGACCATTTTGGATTTCCTAGGTAACAATTTCATCCACAAGCCTAGGAAAGCCTATCCCCCATTAACTGAACTTTTTCCCTCAAAACATACTTTTGCATTTCTTAGCCATTCATTTTTCCTGATGAATTTTCCCTTCAACAAGTTCTATAAGATTTCCTGATGGATTTATAATTGGTTTCCCATTCGATTTGTTGATTTATAATTGGTTTCCCATTCGATTTGTTGATTACTATTATCTTGGCTTGACTTTTCCCAACAAGGAGAGCGCCTGTAGCTCCATTTATTTCAAATATTCCTTTATGTTTTTCCTTTAAGATTTCATAATTCTATTGGAATTAATGTCAAGTATTCCATACTAATTTCCAAACACTCGATATCCTTTGTCACTACTGAGGCTTTTTTTTTCCTAAAGATTTATTTATTCATGAGAGACAGAGAGAGAGAGAGAGAGAGAGGCAGAGGGAGAAGCAGGCTCCCAAGGAGCAGGGAGCCCGATGCGGGACTCGATCCCAGGACCCTGGGATCATGACCTGAGCCGAAGGCAGACGCTTGACCATCTGAGCCACCCAGGCGCCCGATTGAGGCTTTTTTTTTTAATTATGGTTTTTCTAGCTATTTTTACAGAAATGAAAAATTCAATTTTGATGGATTTGTCTCATATTTTGCTATTTTGCTCATATCATTCATTACTTATTTATTATTGTAATTTTTGCTGTTTTTTTCCAGGTTTTCTAGGTATATAATCAGGCCATCCTACAGTGAAACTTAATTCTCTCTTCCTTTACCATGTAACTTGTTCCTTTCTTTTTTTATCACTCATTACAAATGTTTATTCAAATTAGAGTAAATAATAAGGGACAGCCTTGTTTTCATGAATGCCTGTAGATTTCTCTCCCGAGATAATGCTGGCTCTTAGTTTTATTTTTATTTATTTTTTTTAAAGACTTTATTTATTTATTTGACACAGAGAGACACAGCGAGAGAGGGAACACAAGCAGGGGGAGTGGGAGAGGGAGAAGCAGGCTTCCCACCGAGCAGGGAGCCCGATGCAGGGCTTGATCCCAGGACCCTGGGACCATGACCTGACCTGAAGGCAGACCCTTAATGACTGAGCCACCCAGGCGCCCCTGGCCCTTGGTTTTAAAACTAAAATTTCCTGGGCTCAGTCAGTAGAGTGTGTGACTCTTGATTTGGGGATAAGTTTGAGCCCTACATTGGGTGTACAGTTTACCTAAGAAAAAAAAATAAAGTGGCGCCTGGACGGCTCAGTTGGTTAAGTGGCCAACTCTTGGTTTCAGCTCAGGTCATGATCTCAGGATTGTGAGACTGAGCCCCGCCACCCCATAGGCTCTGCGCTCAGTGGAGAGTCTGCTTGGGATTTTCTCTTTCTCTTTCTCCCCCTCTGCCCCTCCCCTGCTCACATATTCTCTTTCAAAATAAACAAATAAAATCTTAAAAAATAAATAAAAGGGTTTCTATAAAAATAAAATCTTGAAAAGATAAATAAATAAAACTAAAATTTGCTACTCCTAGAAAAATAAACTAGGTACTGGAGAAAAGAGGGAGAAAAATACTTTTCACTATATATTCTTGGTTTGCCTTTTGAATTTTGAACCATGTACAAGTATTATTTCTTCAAAAATAGTTTACGATAAATAAGTATGCACTAAATAATCAAACAAAAATGCTTCCTATTCCAATTCAAGAGCATTTCGGGAATATAATTTGGATAATCATTTCTCTCTGATGCAATTCTATCGGTCTCCACTATCTTCCTTACTGCTGTAATAGATTCTAAGAACTTTCCCCTTATTAAACTGACTTGCATCCTTGGGATAAAGACAATTTGTACACAATGAATAATTCTTCTAGAATGCACTATTCTTGAGAGTACTTTCAGAGCTAGAAAAGAACTTGCACACTTATAAACTGAAACACACACACACTGAAGAGTCAAAACATAAAACAAGAACCCTTGAGCCAAAAAAGAGTAAATGATTTAAGGCCAAACTGCTTATTAATAGGACAGATAGAAACACGAGCCAGGTCTCCTGACTTGCTACAAGTGATTATTGGCTAAGACCTGCTTTAGTAATTCTGTACCAAAACTAACATGCAATATTTGAGTAAGATTTTTTTTTTGAGAGGCCTTTGGATTACTACCAATTTACACTGTAAAATACACTTAAGTAATATGATTTTTTAATTCTCAGTTTAAGAAATACCTTACGCAATACAGAGGTTTTATTGTACTTCAACACTTAAAAATTCTACTGAATCTATTAAGGAGTCAGGTTTTTTTAATCCTTTCTTATTTCATCCTAATACTGGATTAAGTGCCTTGTTGTTGGTCTAATTTGGGTATTTATGTTCTGAAGTCAGCTATTTCAAATACATTAGTAATACAATTATGTGTATCATCCTCTAAAAACATGTTGGTGTTTTCTGACTTTTATCCTCAATATATTAGGCCAACTATTTATTCATTGATTTCATCATTGTCTTTTCAAAGATCAAACCCCTTAGTTCCGATTATTTTCATCTTCTATTTATCTATCTTCCCAAATCCAATGCCCATTATTTAATAAACGCCCATTACACTGTAGGGTTAATTTCTTTTTATCTTGACAATATAGATACGTGAAGTGCATTTCCTCCAATAACCGCATCCCAATTTTTAAACTATATTATCACTATTTCCTTTTTCTTCTAATACACTTATTGTATGCACATTTTTATAGCATTCTATAGTTTACAATACTATAAAATACATTGTCACAACTGAATCCTATAACCTATACATCTATTCAGATGGCAGATCCATGACTCAAATGCAGGTTTTCTGATTTTAGATCTTAAACTCTTTCTATTATGCACATTGACTCTCAATATCCAATCTGACTCAAGTGTTTTAAGAAAGCTTTTTAAATCATCTTACAGAGGGGCGCCTGGGTGGCTCAGTCATTAAGCATCTGCCTTTGGCTCCGGTCATGATCTCAGGGTCCTGGGATCGAGCCCCGCACCAGGCTCCCTGCTCCACGGGAAGCCTGCTTCTCCCTCTCCCACTCCCCCTGCTTGTGTTCCCTCTCTTGCTGTGTCTCTCTCTGTCAAATAAATAAATAAAATCTTTAAAAAAAAAACAAACTTAAGAGATCATCTTTTTAGATAATTTATATACTGTTATGTACAATACATGAATATAATGTATGAGTTTTTAATCATCTTAAATCATTTTCTCAATGTAAAATTTCTATTTCTGTAGCTAGAGAGTTTTCTATAATTGTTAATTAGGTTTTAATGCAAGCTTCTATTTCAGTGCTTTCTACTTAAGAAACTTATTCAAGTCACTTAAAGGAAGCCTATCTAAAATTTCACATATAAAATGATGGAATTAGGGGCCACTGGCTGGCTCAGTCGGTAGAGGATGCAACTCTTGCTGTCGGGGTTCTGAGTTTGAGCCCCATGCTGGATGCAGAAATTACTTTAAAAAAAAATCTAAAATGATAGAATTATACTAAATTAATGGTTCCCAAGCTAGGGCTCCTACACATCTCAGTTTCCATAAAGACAATAAAAAGAATCTATAAGCCATGGGACACCTAGGTGGCTCAGTCAGTTAAGCGTCTGCCTTCGGCTCAGGTCATGGGCCCAGAGTCCTGAAATGGGGCCCCGTGTCGGGTTCCCTACTCAGTGGGGAGCCTGCTTCTCCCTCTGCCTACCCCCACCCTCAGCCCCGGCTTGTGTTCTCTCTCTCTCACTCACTCTCTCTCTCAAATGGATAAATAATAATAAAAAAATAAAAGAATCTATAAGCCATTTCTAATTTCCAAAAATCCTAAAAAAAATCATGTTTACCTATGTTAAGATTGCAGAGATTAACCAAAACATCAAGTATCTTTGTCTTAGGCTAGAATTACAAGTGGAAATAAAAAGTATGAATTCTTAAATATCATTTGGCTTAATAGTTTAAAAAAATTTCAAAACATGGTATGATACTGTAATTTATAATAAGAAAATATTTGGTACTCATCCCTGTTTCTGGCACAGAGTTCCTAAGTGATAAAGGAATTTGGAATTTCCTAAATGATAAAGGTACCCTGTTTATGTTAATAAGGTGACTTTTAGAAGGCACCGAAGATGGGGGCTTGTTGCCCGGCAAACCAACCATGCACTTAAGAGGACTGGAACTTTCAGTCCCACCCCTGATCTCCAGAAAAACCCAACAGGTCAGTGTCTGGAGAGCTTCCAGGTTGGTGGGCTTTGGAGGGTGGCCTGACTGGAAAGGCATGGAAGCCCTTTCCCCATTTCTCCATTCCTTGCCCTGTAAATCTCTTCCGTCTGGCTGTTCCTGAGTTATATCCTTCTATAGTAAGACGGTAATCTAGTAAGTACCATGTTCTTCTACAGAGTTCTGTGAGCCACTCTAGCAAATTAAACCCAAGGAGGACGTCATGGGAACTTCTGACCCATAGCCAGTCAGTCGGAAGCACAAGTGACACCAATCTGGACTTGTGACTGGTGTCTATCTTCAGGTAGACAGTGTCAGAATTGAGTTAAATTTGTGGAACACCTGGTCATTGCCCAGAGAGAACTGAGTTAACTGCTAGGTGGTGGTGAGGGGGAAGCACACACATCGGAATTGGTATCAGAATTGTACATGAAAACAAAGGGCAGTGAGAGGGCTGGGTAGAAACCAATGAGTCCAAAAGCTCTAGGAGTTTTTACGGGTTGCTAGGAGCTTTCTTAATAGCACCACATGGTGGACATCTGGCAACTCTTACCAGTATGAATAAAAAGACTGACAAAAGGATCTACAGGATGGTTACTCAAAAATCCAGTGCAAATTCTCTTTAGTGGCTGCCATCATTAGCTGACTACACATACCTGGATGAGGTCCAAGATTCCAAGTTCACTCTCTGATGAATCCACACAAAACACAAAGTAGAGTGTAGCATAGTGCCGATAAATCAGTTTGTACTCAGGGCCACCAATCAAACTGTGGAAGATGGGAAACGTTTAAATGGCTGTATCTTAATTAAACATTTCAAAGAGAAACCCTATGCCAAAGAATGAGAACAGGTGCAACAGATAGGTGAGCACAGGCCAAACAACAGGCCATGTCTACCAGGGGAACAGCAACCAAGTTTGGAAGAGGTGCCTAAAACCACTTTACCTCACCTTTTCTTCTGCCGTCCTCCCAGGAACCAAACATCTAAATGAGTAATATCTGAAGCACAACCATTCAACAGCTTCCAAAACAGAATTGGGTCTCTTCGTGAGAAGCTCAGGTACCCACCTGACACTTGAGTACTACCTGAAGAGGCAACAGTGATGAAGGGCACCCAACAGTGGATACACAGGGAGAAAACGGAAGCCCATCATTTACCTTCCACCTTCCAAGAAGTTACAGATGTTGTCATCTCGCTTGAGAACTAGATGGAAGGTCTCTCGAACAATCTGCTGTTGAATTTCTTCTGGCTAATGGAATAAAAGAAATAAAAGTGAATCAGTACGGGGGGAGGCAGTCTGAAAAACTACATTCCATGGATGGGGATGAACAGGGAGAGAAGTGCTTCCAAACAAGGAACGATCTGAACATTTGGTACCAGTTTCCAGAAAAAAAGAAATGATGAATAAAGGAAAAATAAAAGGGGAATCTATGGAAAATGGGAAAGACTCAGTTACACGGGGCGCCTGGGTGGCTCAGTTGGTTAAGCAACTGCCTGTGGCTCAGGTCATGATCCTGGAGTCCCAGGATGGAGTCCCACATCAGGCTCCCTGCTCAGCAGGGAGTCTGCTTCTCCCTCTGACCCTCCCCCATCTCGTATTCTCTCTCTCTCATTCTCTCTCTCTCTCAAATAAATAAATAAAATCTTAAAAAAGAGTCACTAACCATTACTGTCTTGATAGGTAAGCCTTATAGTTAATAACCAAGGAAAGGAGCGGGGAGCCTGGGTGACTCAGTTGGTTTGGCATCTGACTCTTGGTTTTAGCTCAGGTCATGATCTCGGGGTCATGAGATCGAGCCCCACAGGGGGCTCTGCTTGAGATTCTCTCTCTCCCTAAGCCCCTCCCCCTGCTCGCACACTCTCTCTCAAATAAAATCTTAAAAAAAGATTTTATTTATTTTATTTGAGAGAGAGAGAAAACAAGTTGGGGGGAGGGGCAGAGGGAGAAGGAGACTCCCCGCTGAGCAGGAAGCCTGATGTGGGACTCGATCCCAGGATCCAGGGATCATGACCGGAGCCAAAGGCAGACGCTTAACCAACTGAGCCACCCAGGCGCCTCTAAATCAATAAAATCTTAAAACAAAAAACAAAAAACAAGGAAAGGAGAACTGATAAACTCTCATAAAAGGTCAAAGATAACTAGAAGGTCAGTCCTGGAATATTTTGCCTTCACCTAGAAAATATCTATGCCAAGGTAAATAACAAATGTCAATAGGCCTAACCCTTCAAGGAGGTCAGGATTTAATTGTGTAATCATGTTTTTAAAAACTGAATTTTCCATCTTCTGTACTGGTAATATGGCATTACATATAAGATGGGGTGTAACTCACCAACAAAGTATTACTGTCAGAAAAAGTTCTATTTACAGATTAGAATTCTGAATGGTTATACTTTTTTTTCACTACCATACACAAGAAAGCTCAACTGTAATGATACCTCTTGATAACTCACATTGTGAGTTATAAATTCACACTGTTTATACAGAGGAAGTTCATAAGTACGGTTAAAAAAAATAAAAGGATGATGGAGGGCACCTGGGTGGCTCAGTCAGTTAAGCCTCCGACTCTTGCTTTCAGCTCAGGTCATGATCTCGGGGCTGTGGGATTGAGCCCTGCCATGGGCTGTGTGCTCAGCCGGGAGTCTGCTTGAGATGCTCTCTCTCTGCCCCTCCCCCTGCTCGCTCTCAAATAAATAAATAAATCTTAAAAAAAAAAAAAAGGATGATGGAAGGAAGAAACTGATCATTAAGACAAAAGTAATTAAAAGCTCTCACATCTCAATGTGCAATGAATCACCTGGGAATGTTATTAAAATACAGGTTCTGATTTAGTAGGTTTGGGGTACATCCTGAGACTGCACTGCTAACAAACTTCCAGATGATACCAATGCTGCTGGTCTGGGGATCATACTTTTGAGTAGCAAAGCTTAAGAAAACCTTCAGATTGGACTTGCCCTAAGAGTCAGAAAATAGATTCAAGTAATGTTAACCCCTTCTTTCTAAAGCATTGAATTTGGGACGCCTGGGTGGCTCAGTCGGTTAAGCATCTGCCTTCAGCTCAGGTCATGATCCCAGGGTCCTGGGATGGAGTCTTACATCAGGCTCCTTACTCAGCAGGGAGCCTGCTTCTCCCTCTGCCTACCGCTCCCCCTGATTGTGCGCTCTCTCTCTGATAAATAAATAAAATCTTTAAAAAAAAATTGAATTTTAGTTTGAAATACTTATTTAAAAGAAAGACTGAGGGGCGCCTAGGTATCTCAGTCGTTAAGTGTCTGCCTTTGGCTCGGGTTGTGATCCCAGGGTCCTGGGACCCCACATCGGGCTCCCTGCTCAGCGGGGAGCCTGCTTCTCCCTCTCCCACTCCCCCTGCTTGTGTTCCCTCTCTCGTTGTGTCTCTGTCAAATAAATAAATAAAATTTTGAAAAAATAAAAGAAAAACCAAAAAAACCCAGGGAAAATGTAACTGTGGAGAAATTATTTTTCATAACTTTGACTCAACGTGGATGAACAGTGGCTCTCTGTATTTACTCAATCAATGAAAACCAGCTAATGGGATGCCTGAGTGGCTCAGTTGGTTAAGCATCTGCCTTCAGCTCAAGTCATGATCCCAGAATCAAGGGATGGAGCCCTGCCTCTGGCTGGCTCCCTACTCCTTGGGTAGCCTGCTTCTCTCTCTGCCTGCCGCTCCCACTGCTTATGCTGTCGCGTGCACACTCTATCAAATAAATAAATAAATCCTTAAAAAAAAAAAAACCAACTTAATAAAAAAAAAAAATAAAAAGGAAAACCTGCTACTCACTAGTCACTGTAAGTTTGAGTCAATCAGTTACTATTTTCCTGGTTTCCATTTAAAGTCACAAAGCTCACTGACGCGAGGATGTGTAAAGGATTAACTCCGTGTACTTGGACATACAAAACAAGCTAAGTATCAGCACTTTTTAACCTGATAAAAACATCTTTCAAACTAAAGCCTTTTATCTGACCCTAGGGGCAGGCAGCAGCAGTCATAGGGGAAGTGGTAATGAAACAGTGAAGCTAACTAATTTCTTTCTTTTTAAAAGATTTTATTTATTTGAGAAAGAGAGCACTAGCAGGGTGAGGGGCGGAGGGAGGAGCAGATTCCCCACTGAGCAGTGAGCCAACCATAGGCAAGGCTCCATCCCGGGACTCTGGGATCATGACCTGAGCCACCCAGACGCCCCTAATTTCTAATTTCAACAGAAAGGTGAACTACCACTTGCTTACATGCCTCAATGACTTTAACAATCCCTCATATTTTTTAGTTCTCTGCAGTTTTCAGTAACTTTCACTTACAAGCTAATGTGTTCTTATAAAAATTCTATGTTCGGGCGCCTGGGTGGCTCAGTTGGTTAAGCAACTGCCTTCGGCTCAGGTCATGATCCTGGAGTCCCAGGATTGAGTCCCGCATCGGGCTCCCTGCTCGGCAGGGAGTCTGCTTCTCCCTCTGACCCTCTTCCCTCTCATGCTCTCTATCTCTCATTCTCTCTCTCAAATAAATGAATAAAATCTTTAAAAAATAAAATAAAATAAAAATTCTATGTTCTCCAAAGAAGGTTTACAAATGGCCAATAAGGACCTGTAAAGATGTTCAACATCACTAGTCATTAGGGAACAGAAATTAAAACCATAATGAGAATCCACTTTATACCCACTAAAGTGTTTCTAATCAAAAAGATAGTAACAAATATTGATAGGGAGGTGGAAAAACTGAAACTCCTATACATTACTGATGGGAATGTAAAACAGTGCAGCCACTTGGGAAAACAGTTGGACAATTCCTCAAAATGGTCACCATAGAGTTACCATATGACCCAGCAATTCTACTCCTAGGTTTATAACCTAGAGAAATGAAAACATATGTGTACATAAAAACTTGTACATGAATGTTCACAGCAGCATTATCCACAAGAGCCATAGGTAGAAACATCAACTGATGGACAATCAAAATATGGTATATCCATACAACGGAATGTTAACTTGGCAATAAAGAGGAATGAAGAATTAACACGTACTACAAGCCGGATTAACCTTAAAAACATATTAAGTGGAAAAAGCCAGTCATAAAAGACCACATACTGTATACCATTTATATGAAATGTCCAGAATAGGCAAAATTTAGGGAGACAGAAAATAGACTAGTGGTTGCCTAGGGCTGAGGGAGTTAGGAGGAAATAGGGAATGATTCCTAATGGGTAGGGGCTTCTTTTTGGGGAAATGGAAATGTCCTAAAATCGACCATGGGTATGGTTCCACAACTTTGTGAATGTACTAAAATCCACTGAACTGTATACTTTAAATACGTGAACTATATGTATGTGATTTATTTCTCAATAACACCTAAAAAAAAATTCACACACACAAATGCAAATACAAACTGAATGGTTCTATTGGATGTTAATAGTTTTATCTCAAAATATTTAATAAAACGTAATCTAGCTTTAAAAATTCCACGATGGGCGCCTGGGTGGCTCAGTTGGTTAAGCAACTGCCTTCGGCTCAGGTCATGATCCTGGAGTCCCGGGATGGAGTCCCGCATCGGGCTCCCTGCTGCTCAGCAGGGAGTCCGCTTCGCCCTCTGACCCTCCCCCCTCTCATGTGCTCTCTCTCATTCTCTCTCTCTCAAATAAATAAATAAAATCTTTAAAAAAAATAAAAATAAAAATTCCACGAAAAAGGTAAAATTATTTTGTTCATATCTATTTGACCAAAAAAAAAAAAACAAAAACAAAAAAAGAGAGAGAGAAGAAAAACACAGGGTCAACAGACACAGGGTAAAAAAGGTGAGCTGAGGCCTGAACAGGAGTTTTCTCAGTTTACCCTCTTCATTTCACCAATTATGTCCGTAACATTTTGAAACCTTGCCACGAAGAAATACAACGCTGGAGGGCAAGAGACAAATAATGATGTTTGTGTTTTCCCAGAGGAGTTTTTGGGAAAACTCAGATTTACATTATCACTTATTGAGCCCTCACGCGGTAGCATTTATAATTTCTCATCGCTTCCCACTTTTAAACTGACTTTCTTCAACTCTACAGGAGGAAGGGTATCCAGTCCCTGGGCAGTCCCGGCCAGCACTGAAGCAAAATAAGCCTAAGAAATCACTTCTCCAGATCTTCTAGCCAAAGCAAAAACTTTCATAAGCTGGCATATGTCTTCCTACTCTTACAACCGCGCTTAAGGACCGACAAGATTAAAGGGACTTCAATCAGTCGCGTGTTCAATGGGGCACA